GCTGGTGTCATAGTAGCAGGCGATGGCTGCAGAAAATCAACACGAAATCGATGAAGATACCGTTCAGCAACTGAGCCATCACCCGCTCTGGACGGGTGAGACAGAGCGTCGTGCAGTTATGGAAAGTAAGACTAAGTTTCCCTGGAGTGGTACTGATACCGTGCACCTGCAGTGCCCGATGCATGTCATTTTGCCTGCTCATTATAAACGATGTTTCAGGAACTGCTACTTCTTATTTACCATGAATTGAATCCGATACCCTATTGAATGGTTCCCATTTTCGGCTAAGTGCGAGAAGACAGTGCAGTTCGCTGTTAAATTTGTTCTTGGAGGAGTCATTCATTTTATTTGGCATACTCGGGCCTACGAACTGCTTATGTAGTTTAATCATAAATAATGTTAGTGACAACAGTAGATAATTACTAGATGTAATAGAATTTGAACTCTATAACTTGAACTGAACACTTAACACAGATGAAGTTTACTCCCTGATCCTTTATTGACTCTGTTTTGAAATAGGTTAAAATTTATTATTTTGGATGATCAGTTTATTGTTACATGATGAGTTTGATGAAGGCACTTAAAGCACAACTGTCTTCCAGTGCGGAGGCTTCATCGCCGAGCACGAACTGTTCAAACGATCCCCGCATGGATTGGAGTCACTTTCTCGATGAATATAAAAGCGTCGTCGAGTATATTAAATTCCAGTTTTCGTCGTCCCTTCGCAGGACATATGCATCTGTCAACGTACCGATTGTCATTACAGAGGCAACGAAACATGCATTTGGCGATTATCAGTTTAACGGTGCCATGTCGGTTGCGCAGGTAGGGCTTTCCAGATTTCGTGATTGACACGAATCGATAAAATAGCGGTATTTTTCAGCAACTTTCCAAAGCTGGTCAGAAGATCAGTCCTCGATCGATCGCTGAAAATATCGTTTCACAGATTCACATCGACGAACGGCTCATTAGTAAGGTATAATGCTAGAAAAAGGTGTTTATCTGTTGTTTTTTTATCTGTTTTTTTAACGCATTGCTTCTTTTAGCTCGAAGTTAGCGGGCCAGGGTTCGTAAATATACATTTGAACAAGGACGCCGTCTCTGAATATGTAAAGCAGTCGTACATCAACGGTTTAAAAGGGCCAAAGATTCGGAAGAGACGCGCTGTAGTAGATTTTTCTTCGCCAAATATCGCCAAAGAGATGCACGTTGGCCATTTGAGGTGAGCGTCGAAAATTTTTCTGTGTAGGAGTATGTGTCAAGCATATTTTTAAGATCGACGGTCATCGGTGACAGCATCTGTCGGTTACTAGAATATGAGGGCTTCGATGTTTTGCGAATTAATCACATCGGCGACTGGGGAACCCAGTTCGGCATGCTCATTTGCAACCTGCAAGATCGATTTCCGAATTATCTCCATGAATCCCCTCCGTTGTCCGAGTTGCAGCACTTGTACAAAGTAAAATAGTTTTTTATCACTGCATTCATTCATTGTCTCATTTCCCTGATTCTGTACTTTCTTGTCAGAAATGACCTAAATAT